TCCACCCCTTCACCCTGAGTCTGTGTTTGTCGTTGGGGCTGAGGTGTGTTTCCTGGAGGCAACAAATTGTTGGATCTTGTTCTTTAATCCATTTTGCCACTCTGTGTCTTTTTATTGGAGAGTTCAATCCGTTCACATTGAGAGTGATTATTGATGCATGTGGACTTAATGCTGTTAACCTGTCACTCATTATCTTGTTTTCCTGTGTTTCTTTTCCTGTGTGCTTTAGACTACCCATTTAATACTGCAATTTCTTATGCTGGGTTTCTTAGATTTTTCCTTATTTATGATTTGTGACTCTGTTCTGTACTTTATTTTAGTGTCTACCTTGAAGTTTGTATTTAGAATCTCGTGTATAATATAGTCTATTCTCTGGTGGTCTCTTAGCTACTCGACCAATACTGATTTAGACCCTTTGCTCTTCCCCTCCTAAATAATTATTTTCATTTTTTATTCCAACTCCTCTTATTCATTTGTAGTTAGAGTGCTAAGATCGTCCTTGTTTTGGTAGTTTCCTTACCTTTACCCTAATGCTATAATTGAATATTTGCTCTCCTGTTCTGGTTCTATCCATCGGTGTCCCTAGTCTGTGGATTGTGTCCCCTTTCTCCCTTTTTTCTCTTTTCAAGTATGAGAGCCTTCTTGAGGATTTCTTGTAATGGAGGGCTTTTAGTTACAAATTCCCTTAACTTTCGTTTGTCTGGAAAAGATTTAATTTCTCCCTCATATCTGAAGGAAATTCTTGCTGGATAGAGTATTCTTGGCTGAAGGTTTTTATCCTTTAAAGCTTTGAATATATCACTCCATTCTCTCCTAGCTTGTAGGGTTTCTGTAGAGAAATCTGCTGACAGTCTGATAGGGGCTCCTTTATAGGTTATTCTCTTTTTTTTCCTTACTTCCCTGAGTATTCTCTCCTTATCATTCCTATTTGCCAACTTTACTACTATGTGCCTTGCAGTAGATCTTTTTACATTGACAAATCTAGATCTAAAACCCTCCTCTGCACACATTTCTCCATTGATCCCTAGATTTGGGAAGTTCTCTTCAATAATTTCATTAAGCACACTTTCTGCTCCATTTTCCTTTTCCATATTCTTGGGAATTCCTATGATCCTTATGTTCTTACTCCTCATTGAATCCATTATCTCTTGGAGATTTTCCTCATTTTTTTTAATTCTTAGTTCTCTTTCTTCCTCTGTCTGGCGCCATTCAGCCTGTCTGTCCTCGATTATGCTAATTTTCTCTTCTATGTTGTCTACACAGGCATTCAGGGAATCTGTATTCTGTTTTATCTGGTCCATTGTGTTTTTATCTCAAGTAATTATGTTTGATTCTTCTTTATGATTTCAATCTCTTTTGTGAAGTAACTCCAGAACTCGGCTTGTTTCTCTATCTTTCTCTCTACCTCATTGAGTTTTTTGATTATAGCTGCTCTGAATTCATTATCACTTAGTTTACCTAATTCCAAGTCCTCAGGACTTAATTCTGTGTTTTTATTGTTTTCCTTCTGGTCTGGGGCTTTTATAAATTGCTGGATGGTAGAGGAGCGGTTTTTTCTCATGGTGGTAGAATTCAGTTGCAGTTACAGCCTGTTGCCACTAGATGGGGGTCGAGAGCGGCATGTTATGAGCTCTCCGCCTTGGCGCAAGATGGCTGCGCCCACTGGCTTTGCTGGGGGGGTGGGGCTGTTACTCACACGCGCCAGTCTGGGTTCAGATCAGTTCTGTTCTCTGGTCTCCCAAGGCCCTTGATTTATGGGGTCCCCACGGATGGAAGCTTTCCCCCCGTCAGCGGGTCTCCACTGAATCAGCGGCAGGAGTCCTGGATGATCCCCTGGTCTCGCGGCCCCTCCCCCGCTCCTTCCTGACCCGCGCCGCAGCGATCGCAGACTCTAGGGAAGGGAGCGATGTTCTCTCCTACCGTTCCAGTGCCTCTGGGGGTGTAAGCAAGGTTTATGATCTCCGCCTTCTTGGTATTGTAGGTCTCTAACGAGCTGGCATTAGTTTTGTTCTCTGAAATTCAGTTCTTCCAATCTTTTGTTGTATTTTGGAGGGGAGAGAATCCTGGGTCAGCTCACCCCGCCATTTTGCTCCGCCCCCTCCTCACTTATATACGGATTTTGTTTTTTTATCCAATCGGCCATACTATGCCTTTTGATTGGACATTTAGTCCATTGACATTTAAAGTAGCTATTGATAAAAATGTATTTATTTCTGTTTTGTTACTTTTTTTCTGGGTGTTTTAGTAGTCCTCCTCTGTACCTTTCTTCTTCTTTTGCTCTCTTCCCTTGTGGTCTGATGGCTTTCTTTAGTAATATGTTTGATTTCTTCCCTCTTACTTATTTGTTTATTTATAAGAAGTTTCTGGTTTGTGATTATCATGAGGTTCATGTATAATATTCTATGTATAGAGCAATCTATATTGAGTTGATAGTCTCTTTAGTTAGACCTCTTTCTAAAAGCTCTACTCTTTTACTCCCCTCCTCCCACATTATATGTTTTTCCAATCATATCTAATATATTATTTTGTGTGTGTCTATCCATTGCTCTCTTATCATTGAAGTAGGTAGTTTTAGTACTTTTGTCTTTTAATCTTTATAATAGCTTCATAGCTGATTGATCTGCTACCTTTACTATAATTTTCCCTTTACCAGTCATTTTATAGCCTGTTTTTGGTTGTTTTTTTCCCCATAATTTTCTTATCCCTATTTGTGGTCTTCTCTTTCCCACTTAAACAGTCCCTTCAGCATTTCTTGTAGAACTGGTGATAAACTCCTTTAATTTTTGCTTGTGTGGAGAACTGTATCTTTCCTTCCATTCTAAATGATAACTTTGCTGGATAGAGTATTCTTGGCTTTATGTTTTTTCCTTTCAGCAATTTAAATAAGTCATGCCACTCCCTTCTATTCTGTAGGGTTTCAACTGAGAAGTCTACTGATAGCCTTATGGGCTTTCCTTTGTATATCACTTATTTCCTTTCTCTTGCTGCTTTTAGGATTCTCTCTTTATCGTTAATTTTGGACATTTTAATTATAATGTGTCTTGCCATGGGCCTCTTTGGGCTTATCTTGTTTGCTGTTCTCTGTGCTTCCTGTATTTGGATGTCTATTTCCTTCCTTAAGAAAGTTTTCAGCTATTATTTCTTCAAGTAGATTCTCTGCCCCTTTGTCTCTCTCCTCTCCTTCTGGGACATCTATAATATGAATGTTAGTGTGCTTGATATTGTCCCAGAGTTCCCTTAGACTGTTCTCATTCTGTCTAATTCTTTTTTCTTTTTCTCTTCAGGTTGGGTGATTTCCTCTAGTCTTTCATCCAGTTCACTGATCCATTCTTCTGTATCATCTACTCTGCTATTGAGTCCCTCTAGTGAATTTTTCATTTCCAGTATTGTATTCTTCATTTCTGATTGGTTCTTTTTCATATTTTCCAATTCTTTGTTAACATTCTCACTGTGTTCATCCATTCTTCTCCCAATATCAATGAGCATCATTATGAGTTTTTGTTTGAACTCTTTTTAGGTAGATTGCTTCTGTCTGTTTCATTTAGTTCTTTTTCTGGTTTTTTTCCTGTTCCCTTGCTTGGAATGTATTTCTTTGCCTCCTCATTATGCCTCTTTCTCTGTGCTTATATCTATGTATTAGGTGACTCAACTATGTCTCCTGTTCTTGGAGAAGTAGCCTTATGTAAGACATGCCTTTTGAGGCCCAGCAGTGTGCTTCCCTCCATCACCAGTCCAAATGATCCAGGAGTGACCCCTGTGTGGGCTACTCTTGTCCTTCTGCTGCAGCAGGGTTGCTCTTACCGCAGGCACCCAGGGAGTCTAGGCTTTCCCTCCCTGGCCAGCTGTTTGTAAATCAGATTTGGGGAGCCCCAGCATGATTAGCTGCAAGGTCTAATAGCATACTCCTATTACAGTTTTCCTGTTAAATGAGTAGGCACCCAGTGTAGCTGGTTGCTAGTCTCATAGGCTTACAGTTGCTGTAGGCCTCAGGCCTGCAAGAGTACTGTCAGCTCTCTTAGGATTGCAGCTGAGTGGGGCTGGCCCCAGGCATAGGAATGCACAGTTGTTTCAGGCTTTGGAAGGTAGGGCCGATCTCCTTTTTGGCTGTTTCTGAAACACAGCTTTTCTGCCACAGATAAGCCCCACCCCCCACAGGTCCACACAGTCCTGGCCCATGCACACTTGCCAACCCCCTGAGCATACCCAGTCATCCCACTGCAGAGGCCCCCCACCTCTCCACCAACACACCCTCACAGTTCACCTGGTCTTCACACAGGCCCTGGCCCACAGAGATGGGCACACTTGCCTGCCTGTAGAGGATCCAGGCACTCAGTCTCTGCAGGCTGAAAAGTTTTCCAAGGGCTTGCTGTTGGGTGGAGCCAGTCCCTAGGGTGGGCTTCCTGCCCTGGATGAGCTGGATTAAATCTGTGCTCTAGTGTGTGTGACAGACTCCTGGGCTAACAGGCCAGGGGAAGAACTCCAATGATGTCTGTCGGCATCTGTGTCAGCACACCGGTACTAGGTCTCAACAATGGCTGCCACCAATGTCTCAGTCTCTGGAGAGGTCTCACCTCTCACCAAGATGCACTCAGAGCCTACCTGGTGAGTCTCTTTTCACCAAAGGCCTGTGCACCTTTCTGGTGATTTTTGGTTGCTCTCTGAGACTGGGGGATTTGTGCGTGGGCCTTTTAAGAGCTGGCTTTACTCTGCTTATGTCAATAGCTTTTCTGGGGGATATTCCCCACTGTATTAGTAGCCAGCAAAGCCAGATAGTATGACACTTGTCTCAGTTGTGTTGAGTCTGAAGGATGCTAATAGCAGTAACGTGCCCTAGCTCAGGTCACCACTTCTCCAGGGAAGGCTGCGTACCTTAGGGTGGCTCCCGCCTGGCTGGCTCTGAAGCTCCACCACTTGCGAAGGTGGCTTTTTTCTCTCCAGAAGTAATTTCTGCCTCTTCTGCCTCAGTCAGGACCTTCACTTGTTGTGGGGGTTCTTTTTATCCAGTTTTCAGTTCTCTCTCTGGGGTAATTTTTCCAAGAATAGTTGTAACCTGGTTGTGTTTGTGGGAGGAGGTGGGTTCAGATTCTGCCTATGACAGCATCTTGAAGAGATCCAGTCTAAGTTTTGATAAATAGATAAATGGAACAAAACCGGAAGGCCAGAAATAGGCCCACACAAATATGGTCAATTGATACTCAAGAAAGGCACCAAGGTAATTCAATGGGGAAAAGATGGTCTTTTTACCAAATGGTGCTGGTACAATTAGATATCTATATGGAAAAAAATAAACCTCAGTACTTCCCTCATATAATACACTAAAATTAACACAAAACGGACCATCGACTGAAAAGTAAAAATTAAAACCATAAAACTTCTAGGAGAAAACAGAAAATTTTTGTGATCTCACTATAGGCAAAAATTTGACAGGTAACATAAAGCTATACCTATAAAAAATATTGATGATTTAGACTTCATAAAAATTAAAAATGTTTACTCTTCACAGGACTCTTAAGAATAGGGAAAGGCAAGGCACAGTCTAGGAAAATATACTAATAATACATATATCTGGCAAAAGACCCACATAGAGCATATATAAAGAACCTTGTAACTCAGTAATTAGAAGACAGCCCAATTTTATAAAGGTAAGGAAGCAAGTTAAACATTCAACAAAAGAATATATACGATGACCAATAAACACATGAAAAGATGCTCAACATTATTAGTTAAGAGGAAAATGCAAGTTAAAATCATCATGAGCCCCTACTACACACCCACCAGAATTGATAAAATTAAAAAGAATGTCAACACCAAATATTAACAGATATGGCTCGACTAGAACTCTCATTGATTGCTGTGGGAATATAAAATGGTATGACCATTTTAGAAAATACTTAGGCTGCTTTTTATAAAGTTAAACATCTACTTACCCTAAGACCCACAGCAGTCTGCTTCTAGGTATTTACCAAGATAAATGAGAACGTTTGTACACACTTATACACATATGTTCATGGCAAACTTATTCATACTAATTAAAAACTGGAAACAATCCAAATGTCCATCAACAGGAGAATGGGTAAATAAATTGGGGTATATTCCTACAAAGGAATAGTACTCATGAGAAAAAATGATTGAACTACTAATAGATGCAACAACATGAATAGATCTCAAAAATGTTATGTTAAACAAAAAACACTTGAACATGGGCACAAAAGAGAACATTCTGTATAATTTCGTTTATATGAAATTCTAAGAAAGTCAAATTGACAATAGTGATAGCAGATCAGTGGTTGCCTGGGCCACAAGAGGCCCTTTGGGAGGTGATGGAAATGTTACACATCTTTGATTGTGATTGTGGCTGCCTGTGTGTATACATTTTCAAAACTCACTGAACTGATTAAACGGGTGCATTTTATTGAGTGTAAATCATACCTCAATACAGTTGTTTTTTAAAAATTCCTGTTTTCCTGTTTGAACCTTGAAACATGTTTTCGAATTTCTTTTATTAGAGAACATTTAGAAGTGCTAAAAGAAACAAGGGTTTGTGTATTATCAGAAATATCTAAAACAGACACAAGATGGCAATGGTACTTCAAAAAGCATATGTGTATTCCTCTCCCCATCCCCCTCCCCCTCCCCCTCCCTCTCCCCCTCCCTCTCCCTCTCCCAGGTTCACCTGACAGCCTTTCATCCTTCAGGGCAGTTATTGTCCTTTTCCAGATGCTTTCAGGACTCTTGTCTAATATACTTGATTGTTGTCTACAGTCAGTAACTATGCCACAGATACTTTAAACATCTCAAAAGCTTTTTAAGTTTTTCTTTTTAAGCTTTTTTTTCCTATTGTTAGCAAAAGTCAAAATGGTAAATAGTTCACAATCAGTAAGATATTTTGTTATTAGGGAGATTAGGGAGATATGTCTATTAGAACTTGTTACTCGCCAATGGAGCTGAGAAATGTGCCTTACCTCTGGAAATCGTGTTTTACATTTCCATATAGTCCTTTGGTTTGTATTTCACAGTCACCGTTAGAGGGCAGTGCAGAAGCAGAAATGCGATCACAGGCGACTGCGACGTGGGAAATGCAGTGGGATTGTTTGGTTGTCGGTCCAGGAACACTTTTTAGTGTAGGAACCAACTAGGTTTTCCAAAAAGGAGACTATAAGCAGATTATTAGTGAACACCAAGAAGCATTCATTCTATCTAAAGTAAAGAATGAAAAGGAAAAGAATACATTTCTTGAAACTATCTGATTCAGAATTTTCTGTTTAGAACGTTGTCAGTAATAAGGTAGTTCCTATCATGGAACTTTCCTGAAGCTAACTCTAACCTCTGGACTCCACATATAAAACAACCACGTGAGGACCCAGTGGAGAGAAGCGAGCAGGCCGATTCTGGAGGGCAGCGAAAGTCCTTTCCAGAGGGCAGTGAAGTCCATTCGGGAGGGCAGAGAAAGTCAGGGGAGAGAAGGGGCTGGGTGAGGGCCCTGGTGATGACTTTCACCCTGAGGGCAGACCGAAATCTGGGCCGCGGGGATGGGGAAAGCTCAGACAGGAACCTGACCGTACTGCTCGGAGGATCAGGGGAAAGAGTGGGGAGGCCGCAGTCCTTGGAACACGAGGGAGGTGACGAGGCTCCCGGCGCGGGCGTCCCTCGGCTTGGCGCCCGGTGCTGAAGGGGTGGCGCTGCGGGCCGGCGGGGGCTAGCGCCGACCCCCGGCGGTAGTCCACAGGCTCCTCGGTAACATGTGGAAGCTTTGGTCTGTTCTTCAGACGCCAGGGGAAACTGGCCATTCCCCGGCCCTCTTTCGGAGGCCTGGCAGAGAGCAGGTGAGGGAAGGCCCTCACACAGGGCTTGGGGGGCGGGGGGGGGGGGGGTTGCTGCTCCCATTTCTCCTGTGTGCTTTACGTGGAATCTGGTGATTATTTCCCACTTTCTGAGGGAAATTCTAGTGGCAGACCGTCCACTCAGCTGGAGACTCTGGCCCTGTGGGCTTGCTGCTCACAGCCTTTATTACGGGCCCCTTTGTTAAACCCGGTTTGAGAAGACTGCGGCCTGTTTGCAGTGAGCAGCAGCTCGCTGGACTCCCCAGGACGTCCCGGATGGCTGCTGCCTACAGCCAGCGCGGGGTGTCAGCAAGCCCCAGGACTATTTCAGCACCGCCTTCTGACTCCTGTTGACAGTGGACCCTCCAGTCTGTATTAATCTTCATTTCCTGTTCCCTCCTAGTTTACTCTGTGGTTCCTTTTACATGATTTTGAGTAATCATGTGTACCAGTTATTAAAATGACTACAATCTCTACCCCGGAATCATCTATTCTTCTTTTTCCTTCCTCTCCTATCCAGTCACCATTCACCCACAAGTCCTGTAAACTAACATCTGTGCCCCTCCGCCCTTCCCTTCTCACCTGGATCACTCCTGAGTGCTTTCCCTGCCTCCATCATGTCCGTGTGTGCCATTCTCCTCCACACCCACGAGTTAAACTTTTAAATATGCTTATCAGTTTATATTAATCTTTTGTTTGAACTTCTCCTGTGGCATCTTATTGTGGTTAGAACAAAATGGAATCTCCTTACAGGTCCCCTGATCACTTCTCTGAAGTCACCCCTAATGCTCCTCCCCTCAATCACTGTGGTCTGGATTTCTCACTGTCCCACAAATATTTCAAACTCTTCCTTTCATCCACCTGGCCACTCTTGCTGTTCCTGTGCTTGAATGTTCTTTCTTTGCTTTGCTGCCTCCTTTTTATCATTCTTGCTTTGATTCTATTTGTCTCCTCAGAAAGGTCCTTTCTGGCTGTCCTAACTAAAGTGGTCCTCACCCAGCCTCAGTCCCTCTCTATCCCATGGCACTGTTTGGTTTCTTTCATAGCACTTACCAGTATCAGAAATTGTCTTTATTTTTTGGTTTGTTGTAACACCATGCAGTTCAGATACAGAGTTGATTGGAGAAAAACATTCATTCAGAGAAGTAGTAGAGCGTGTACAATCTTCCTAATTCTTGTTTTGTTAGAGCTTGAGCGAGGTGTGGATAGTCTGCATGTCCTATGGCCAGGGTACAATAAAGAAGGGCAATCCCCCAGGATGTTCTATATATTTATGGTGCGTATTTTGGGGACGGAGGCAGGGTCAAGAAGCATCCACCAGGCTACATAAGTTCCCTGGTTGGGGAAATGCCCTTGTTGGAAAGGAGGATACTCCAGAATATGACAACTAGTAATTAGCCTGTCCTGTTAAAGTAACTCAGATCTCCCTGACAAGCTCTGCTAAGCTACCAAAAGCAGGAGGACATAAGCACCCAGGGCCATTGGTTTTGTCTCCTCACTAAAATGTAAGCACCATAGAGGCAATGACATTTTCTGTCTTGTTTGCCACTAGAATAGTTCTGGGCACATAGAAAGATAATCCAAAAATGTTTGTTGAATGACTGAAAGAATAATATGAGTAATGATGAAGTAACTAACTAAAAAGGAACTGAAATTTAGAAGGAAAGGCCCTATTTACTTGAAATTGCATCTTATTTATATTATGTCTTGCTGGGTGGATAGGTGTCTAAATTTATTGCAGCAATGTAACTGACAGTAGAAGATACAGGGGCAAGGCATCACAAATGTGACTCCAGCTATTAGGGATTCTTCCATTGCTTTTAAATACATACTCATGCTAACTTAATGCTGTCTACAACTTCATTTATAAAATTCTAACCATCAGTTTCACTTGTGCTGTCTCTTAAATCAGTGGTGCAATCTTTGGTGTTGGAATCAAATTTTTTGATCATTTTTGTAAGAGGAACAGATTGGGATTCTTTGGGGACATGTTCCAAGTGTCTCTTTTTTATTCTCAGACTGTTTTGTTCATCTCAAACCAAGATCACAGTCTGTCCTGGATTGCTTTTGGCGCAAGAGTGATAATGAGGTCATTTCCACTATGATAAGGTCAATTTTGGTAATGCTTACTGCATCCTGATCAATTTTTGGAATGCTTCTAAATTAGCAAAGTAAGAAAAAAATTAAAAATTTTTTAATTTTAAAATTATTTAATTTATTATTTTTATTATAATTAATAATTAAATAATTAATTTAATAATTAAATAAGAAATAATTAAATAAATAATTATTAAAATTATTAATTATTAAAAAAATTTTAAAAAGTAAAGGAAAAGTTTGTGATGAGCTAAATCCTGAGGAGTGTGACTAGTTCTACAATGTAAAGTACTCACCACGTACTTGATCAAATTCATCTCTTGAGGATTACTCATTATAAGAAACTTCCCTGGGGTTTAAATTAGTGTTGTAGTTTTACTTATTTCATAATTATAAATCCTTGGAATAGATATTATTGACTTATAAAATTAATAGGATTTATTTTCATAATGTCAGTGAAAACTATAAAGTAGGCAAAACAAATCTTTAGCACTCTCTACCGTGACCCATTTCTGGAATCATTTTTCTCTACCAATGTAACATCTGTTATTCAGGGCTCTTAGGGACTAAACAATGACACATAATGGAGAAATTGCACAAATTAGCTCACTGTGTATTTCTACAAGTCAAGTAATCTGCTGCAATAATTTTAAAGCAATTTTCTTAACCTAATAATTAGTTTAAGACAATCTTAAACTCTCTTAAATTTTATATCCTTGGCTACTTTTTCCTTGAAATTCTCATCAACATCCTTTTTCCGCATTTTTTTCTATTTTCTTCCTGTGCCTTCTTGGGCTATTTAATGATTCTTTTACTTTCTTCAACAGCCTCCTAACCAGTAGTGAAATTCTGCAGTCAATCCACTACTCCTATTACCCTTCAAACTTTTTTTAACCTCATATAATCACATAGCCTCAACTTTCACTTTACTGTAGGCTTCCAGCCAAACTTTTGAATAACTTTTGTAGCCACATATGAAACTTGACATCTCCGTTTAACTGTCCTGCAAGTTCCTCACACTCAACTCATCCACATCTCCTCTGTCCCCACCACCAATCCTTTTGCGTTTTCTTGATTTCAAGGTTGTGATGAGCATCATCCACTTTTCCAAACTATAAGCATAGGGTCTTTCTTTGTTCGATCCGCTCACTTCCTACCACTTTCCATATCCAGTCATCAAGCTTAGTAGTATGTATTTTCTTAAAATCTTTCCTATCTTTTCCTTCCTCTCCATCTTCATTCTCACCAGAATAACTGCAACCTCATGTCTGGTCTCTCTAAAGCTCAGTAGTCACTCCACGTTCACAGATGCTGAGAGGTAGCAGTCCTGAATCCTCAAGTCTCTTCAGGAGCAACCTTAAGGCCACTCTAGGCCTCTTGTATGAAGTGTGACCTTCCCACTATTAATAAGGCTCTAAGTTGATTATATGGAAATTATGGGAAGTGTATTGAGATAAACTCAAATGATGCCAGCAAATATTTCTTGTATATAAAGAATGTATAAGAATTTGGAGAATAAAAACTACAGAAGTGGAAGATATGAACCTGACCTCCAAAAGGAAGGGGGAATGAGTAGAAAGCCAGTGTTGGAGTGACCTGGTTCAGATTTCAGCTCCACCACTAGTTTGACTCTGGGCAAGATACTTACATGATTTTAGCTTCAGTTTCCTTATCTGTAAAATGAAGATAATATCTCATTCAAAGGGGCATTTTGACAGTTAAATAATATTGTATATAAAGTTTCCATCTGGAAACTTGCACATGGTAGATTCTCATCGAATCATAACTGTTAATACTTAGGGTCACAGGACTTATAAACTTGAAAAGTAAAATATCAATAAAAGCTTTAAATAACTTTAAGGAAATAATAATAGAAGTGCCATGAAGAAATACACAGTATCTGCCATGGAATAGTGCTGACAGCCATTTTTGAAGGAGCCCAGAATGTCTGGAATAGAGAGAAATAATAGGCAAGTAACCCTTAGCTTACATACAGCAGGACCATTTATTAAAATGCTGTTTGCATGAAAAAAAGATTTTGCCACATGGAGCATGAAAAATAAAGTTTGTAGATTTTGATGGTTTTTACATAAAAGTCTGAGACTCATCTCTCACCTCTGCCCAGTTACTTCTAGGTTTGAAAGCATTTTCCAGCCACTGTCAACTATTTAAGAGAAGCACTGGGAAAATATAGATGAATAAACCTTCCCTTCAGGTGCCACTCCCAAGACCACCAGACGCACCTGGGTGTGGGCTAGGTGAGGAGGGTAAAGATGTGTAGAAACTGCCATTTGTATTTACTGGAGACAACAGTGAGAGAGATTTTGACTTGGTTTAGGATCTTAGAGATCATTTAGTCCCACATTCCATTGACCAAAGAGGAAGCCCAAGCTCAGACCTGCTGAGTTGGACAAAGTCACCCAGCTACTGAATGGGAGAGCCAGGCCTGGAGCCCAGATCGCTCAGCTCCCAGTCCAAAACTTTTTTCCGCTGCTTCTTTACACTATTGAGGTTTTGGAATTTTACTCATTCAAATGCAAATGTTTTGTGTGCTTCTTTAATAGGACTTTTTTGGTCTTACTTTACTAAATAGGATTTGCTGTACTGAGTAAATGAGTGTAGATATGGAGGTGTTAAAATCATCAACCTCTTCTAAAGCATCATTATTTTCCATTTGTTTCTGTTTATGATGTGGAACACTTGCTTCTTTTTCCCTTACAGCTTTAATTGGAGACAGCAGTACGTAAACTTGATTTACATGTTCTAGTGGATGATACAAGCAGTGAGGATGAGATTAATAAAATCAATGTAGCCCATTCCTATTCCCACCCCTCCTTTGGGAATTCACCCAGGGGATTCGTTGAGGGAATTTGTTGCTATGAAATAGTGCTGCAGCTGGGCTCAGT